TTGGATCTCCTCGTATAAGCAAGAGATGTAGCCTCACTTCGAGTCACTGCATATCATCAAAGAGTTGCCCATCACTACAACTGAAGGGTGAAACCTTTATGTATTTCAATTGGAGATCTAGTTCTATGCAATGTCGAGGTAGCTTGAAAGGGCCCTCAACATAATAAACTCTCTCCCCTATGGGAGGGTCCTTATTTGGTGGCAGCTATAGTCAAGCTTGACACCTTCAAACTGAAGGATGTTGATGGGAAGATGCTCCATCAAACTTGAAATGTTGGAAACCTTCGCAAGTATTATCAGTAGGTGTTGATAATATTATTATCTTGTGTTATATATTTTCTCCCAAGTCATTTATTTATCCTTGTATATATCCCTTCAGTATTATTATGCTAACCTCATATGCATCCCATGTATGTTGATTGTGATAAAATTCTTTTAGACCCTGAATCCCTAAGTTATACCAGGGAACTGTTATACTATCTTATATAATATAGTAATGCAATGTTCACTTTATTGTGATATTATCTCCTCCTATAAAAGATAAAAACCCGTAAAAAATTTAACTTCTTTATCCATGATTTGTAATATACATAATTTATATTGTATCTCAATCACTGAATAATCAATCCTAGGAGGATTTTATCTGACCTCTTTCATACAGGTTTATTTCATCAAATAAAACATTTGATTTACAACCTCAGACATATCAAACATCCTAGAAGGATGTCTTAAATTTTAAATTATTGGATAATCAATCATAGGGGAAGTTGATTTGACCTCTTCCATATATGTTAAATATTATCAAGCAAATGCTTTAATTAACAATCTAAGATAGGTTAAAACATCCAAGGAGGATGTCTCTCACATTCACTCAAGTCAAAAGAGCCCACTAAAATATTTCTCATCATCCAAATTGAAAAAAAAAACTAAGTAAATTTTTTATGCATATGAGAAAAAGAAAAGAGAAGAACAACAACAACATCTTAATATATCACTGAATATAATATACATCATATAAAAATATTAACACCAAATACATACAATCATCACTAAAACATATAAAATGGTATAACCAATAACAAAATAACAATACATAATCTCGATCTCCACTCTAGTCTTGCACTGCACTAGACAGACATCCTTCAAAAAAACTCTGATGAAGCATTCCTCTATATACTATTATTCTAAAGCCTTCAGCTCCATATCATATATGTGATTATGAGCTTCCTGAATAAGATTATGGATGATCATCTTGAAGGAAACAAACTTCTTGAATTCTTCTATGTCTCTAGAAGGTGATTATTCTGACTTGGACATGTCTTCCTTCTTAAACAACCAACTTTGGAATCTCTTGACCTCATTCTCAATGGTTATAATCTTCTCTTCAATGACTTATTGATCTTTAATATACTAGCTGATTACAATATGTACATCCACTAACTCAATATGTAGACGGTCCATTTATTAATTATGTAAAGAAGTTGAAGTTGTCATAATAAATAATTTTTTCATGCACTTTGCTAGCCGCTCCTCCACAGCCTTCATCTCCTTGATTTTGCTATTATACATTTTTTGTACTCTCTATGGAGATACTTGACCTTCACAAACTCATTATTCTAATCATTTAAGGCCTTGGTCATTTCAGTTTCAAGACCCGTATGTTTTACCAACTAAAATTGTAAAAAAAATTATAAGGGATATATTCTTATGAGAATGTCAAAAGAAAAAAGTAAGAGAGAGACTGGAAACTCACCAACTCCTCAGCCCGTCGATGACCAACACATTGATGCTTCAAAACCTCTTTTAGAATATGTGACTTGGATGGAGAGACATGATGACTTTTACTAGCAACTATTAAAATCTCCTCCACTTATTCTTCTTGGATGTTTACGGATCACCCTCATTCTCTGATTGTTTAGGCGGTGCCTTTAAAGGTTGGATAATTGCCTCTAAGACTTTGGTTAACTTCTTTAGCATACAAGCATGTAATTTTCGTGCCTGAATAGATAATTCCACCTTAAATAAATATTCTTCATCTACATATCTACTAAAATATTATACCTCATAATGGAGAGTGTCGATATTAGTGAGATTAAGTATCTTCAATAAGTCCTCTACTCCAACATGTAGGGGAATGGGTAAATCCTCTAGTTTTCCCCATTTTTCTTGGAGATTTCAGTCATTCTGCATAAAAAAGAAATCACTAACTCAGTTCTTTGATGGGTCTCTAGTATGGATATCCAACCACTTGGATCTGAAAGAGATTTGACCCTACATATCACCAATAAGTTTACCCATATGAGAAAGGCAATAAAAAGACAATACCGCTCCACGATCTCTAAAAACATGATCAATCTCATTATGATTGACATGGATTTATAAGAAAGCTGTGACAAACTTACTTCACATGTAGGGCGATCACCTGTGGCTGGGGGGATTTTTGTGGAGGTGATCTCACCCATTTAAACTTCTACACTTATGAGGGGTACATAATTTAAGTAGGGGATGCCACCTACCAAAAGAAATAGAATGCCTCTAAAGTAAGAAGGAAAATGAGAGAGAAAGAAAAAAGGAAGGCTGCAAAAATTCTAACTCCTACAAAAGGAGAGGGGCCCTGAATTTGAGTAGGGGATGTCACCTATTAAAAACAGGGGAATACATCAACTGTAAGCATATTAGAATTAGGGAGGAGAAAGAAAAGAAATAGTTGGAAAAATTTTAACTTCAACAAAAGGAGAGTGGCCTTGAATTTTAGTAGGAGATACCGCCTAACAAAAATAGGGGAATGTCTCACTTATAAGAAAGTTATATGGAGATGGGAGAAGAGGAGAAGGTGCATTTTTCATCTTGCCCTAGATGGGTATTTATAGGATGAATGAGAGGGAATTTATTTGAAAAAGGGGTTATTCTAAAAAAGAGAGGGAAAGAAGTTTCTAAAAATAATTTGAAATTATTTTAAATTTTTTAGAATTTTTTTGGAATTTTTTGGGCCACAAAATATAGTCCAAATTTGAAGATTTTGGGATTCCCAAACACATTTTTCAACATTCAATATTCAATTTTGATAGTTTTAGAGCTCAACGATGTCTCTATGATCGAGTTTGAGCAAATTTATATTTTTTAAAAAGTAATTTTCTAATATTTTTTTGTAATTCAATCAATTTTAAGTGGTGGACTGCATATTTTTAGACTCCTGAAGCCTCGATGTCTGAAAATAGGTGGGCAACTAATATGTGATCAAAAAATTATCTTGATCGGGCACGAATCTCGAAGCAAAAAATCAAGTTGGAAACTTTAAAAATTAAATTGTAGATCATATGAACTCCGAGTTCAATAAAGTTATAGTCGAACTAAACGTCTCGAAAATATGAATCCGACGACATCAAATTCCATTCAGTCTGAGTTCAAATGAGTCCAAATCAAAGACCCAAAGCACATTTGGAGGGTTCAAATTATAATTTGGATTACCAAATAATTTCTAAATATGGCGTGCTTATAGTCGAATTGAGCGGCTCAATGAGACAAATCCAAAAAGCCCAAGATCATTGAATTCCAATATCATTAAGACATTCAAAATGATCAATAAATGGCCCATGATCAAGGGATTCAACATCGATCATCCATTCAAATTTTTCTCAATTTATCACTGATCTTCCACATTTTTACTGGTCATGCCACTCTCATAAAATTATAAATAGATCACTCATTTCTCTTGAGAGGGGATCCCAAGAAAGAAAACCTGATAAGAAGATAAGAGAAGGAAGAGAATCCTCCTCGACCACCATCGAACTTTCGCTTGGCATCCGCTTGATGCTGGAATTAAGCAAGGAAGCAAGAAGAGAGGAGAAGAAGAGAAGAGAAGGAAGAAGAGAAGTACGAAGAGTAGGAAAAAAACTCCTCTTCGACCACCGCCGGACTTTCACTCGGTAGTTGACCGATGCTAGAATTAATCTTAATTATTCTTACTATAGATATTTGCGAGAGGATATCCCTAATGAATTCTTTTTATTAATGATATTCCACTTGTTGATAAGATTAGAAAGGGAGTTGGAAAAAAAGTTGAATTATGAAGGTCATTCAAAAAATCTTAAATTTCTCATTTGAATAGTTCTAAAACAAAATGCATGAATTGTAATTTTAATAGTAATATATCTAAAGGTGGGATTATGACATGAGATAATCATGTCACTAAAAAAAGCATATGTTTTATAAATAAAAAAGGCCAATTGCTCAAAGCGATCATGAAATAAATAAAAAAATTATTATTACAATTCAAGGACAAAGATTGAAGTAGAGGAAGTAGAAAAAATACCCTTCAAACTTTAAAAAAAAAAAAAACTTACAAAATTTTTTTTTTATTAAATTTAAATAAAATTTTAACTCTTAATCAAATAGCTAACCCCGTAATGGGATAAAAATTAATTATTATTATTATTATTATTAGATGAATTAATACAAACTCTCTCCAAGTAAAATCATGACCATCCCAAATTTTTATTACTACACGTAAAAATTAAACACCAAATAATTCATCTTATACATTTCTTTATGTAGAGATGATTTTAAAACGGAGAAATTATTATATGAAGAGTCCGCCTGTAAAATTGCATCCCAACTCCAATGAAATGTTCACATGTGATCAAAATAAATTTTTTTAATATTATTACATATTTATTAATTATTTATTAAGTAAATATTTATTATATATTTGATGAATATTTATTATCAATTTAATTATCAATAAATATTCAACAAATGACCGGACTGTGATGCAACTCTATGACCGGACTCCACTCAATAAATACACAGAATTTCTATGCTACTCCATGACCGGACACCACACCTAATAATCTCTTTAAACTGAGTTTTGTTTTTAAAAAAAAAAACAAGGGAGTAATTTTTCCCTTCCAAGTTCCAAAAGAATTATAATCACGATCAGCATTAAAATTTGAACGATTAACAGCTACACGACCCATCAAGAGGGTTAAACAAAAAAGAACTTAGAGCAAAACAAGCAATTTTCATTATAATCCAAAAACCTAATCCACTCTTTCAAAGCCAATCCAGAAGATAAAAAAGGGATTACATCACTAATATTTCACATAAAAAAGAAAGCTAAATCACCATCTCTTCTTATTAACCATTTTCAAGAACTAAACCGTTGGTTTGCGGACGAAGTAGCGGTAAGCCGCAACTTTCCGCCGCCGGGAGCTGGTGTTATCGATGGAAAGAACCATCTTTCCGGCCTCCCTGGCCGTGAAAACATTGTGAACCGGTTCCTCCGCCGTCGCTGGAATCCGCCGTGGTTTCTCCACCGCAATCGTGTAGCTGCCCTCCGCGCTCGGCACATACTCCGCCGCGTAGCCCACATCCCAACCGCCAACAACTATATCCCACGTTATAGTCGCTCCAGACTTTAATAACATCAACAAATAAGTGGAGTACTTGGTCGAACATTTTGCGTGCAGTTATAAAATGGAGGGATGTAGAAACAAGGGGAGAGATTTTACCTCAATGCCGTCGATTTCCAGGTTAACCTTCTCTCCGCCTTTGATTGTGAACTCGGAAGCAGGCTTTGGCGGCCCATTTTCGAGATCACCTGGTCGGCTTAGACCTCCATACTGTACTGGAACGAACTCTGGCCTGATGAATCTGAATATAGATCGTATGGAACAAGTGTTAAAATCGAGATATTATATAGAAAAAAAAAACATGCTGAGAAAGGAAACAGATGGGTAATTACTTGTACAGGGTCTCAGCTACATTGCCTCCTTTGGCGATGACGAACTTGCTCTTGGTCCTCTCAGTGAGAAAAGGACTAATCATAGAGTACAGAATGCTAAAATACCACGGCACGTTTATGAAAACCTGCAAGGATCACCAATCAGCAGTACACCAACAACGAAACAAAAGTCCCAAATGCTGCATTCTGCGAAAACATAACAAAGGGCTGAATCTAACCTTGCGGGCGACCATTTCCGGGTAGTTGTCCTGAAACAAAGAGAGGATCTGGTTCGAAGCAACGCGGAGCTCGCGCTTAGGCATGTCTTTGAGATCGGTGACCTGAATGATGGAGTTGATGCCACCAGGCTTGAGCTGGAGAAGGCCTACACCGCGCTCCATGACCTGAACACGCCATCGGAGGAAGCGTTTAAGCTTTTCCTCGTCTCCAAAGATGCGATCGTACATCTCCCTGTCCTTGAAGACGCCATAGGCATTATAGCATACAGGATGGCCAGCGCGGTCCCAGCCGTGCATGTACGCAACAACGCCTTCGAGCTCCTTGAAGCCTAGCTCTTCCTCGACCACTTCGTCCGCTCCAAACTCTGATCTCCACTCGGCACACCGCATCAGCATTGCATGCGTCTGTGCAACGCCGAAGTCCCGCGCTCGAAGGAACTTGAGTAAGACCACGTCGGCGCGCTCGTCACCGCCTAGTAAAGGGATTCCCCACATAGACGGTGGCGCCGAAGAGGATGACGACAGCATTTTCTTCAGATCTTCAAGAGCTTTGATCTCTGCAGGTTTGAGATGGGAAGTGAGGTAAGAGTCTTCCTTGAAGGATGATGATCGGCCAAGGGTCGTGCTCGCCGCCTCCTTCAGCGAGCTCATCAGGCTCCTCTTCGTCGGCCTCTGCGCCGCCGGTGATTGTTCCATGGCTTCCGGTTCGTCTACAGGAAAAGAGCGAAATTCTCGCAACTCGGGTTGTGGGAACGGAAGCAGGGCAGCGGACGTTTGATGAGCTTTATAATCTATTGGGGCTTCGTTTTCGTCGCCCGTAGTTCTCCATCGCAACCGTCCATGTTCGAAGATAGAGGATCGTCAGTCACTTGATCGTTTTGTTGTTTCGTATGACCACTGGGCATCTGGCAGGTGCCTGTTTCAGCGGAAGCACCGTTGGTCCAGATATTGGCATCGGGCGAAGGTAAAAGACCGAGGCCTTATCGTTTAAATTCAAATCTTAGGAAGGCAATTTTGGTGAAAAGAAACGTAATTAAAGAAAAAATAATAATTGTGATTAAAAGTAAATAAGAAAAAGGGTAAAAATATATTAAAAATTTAGACATATTCTTAAATACAGAAAATAGATTTTCGTTTTCTTGTAATTATAAATTATAATAAATTAGTGATTTCGAAAATATATAATAAATTAAATAATTTTAAAATTATAATGTTTAACATTTAATTAAATTTAAAAAATGTACCTAATTGATTAAATTATAATTGATTAAATTTAATTTATATTTTATATTAAAAATTGAATAAAATAATTTTGATTGATGTGACAAGTCATTTGTGACGAAGATCATTATCAAAAAATATTTGATAAATAATAATATATTTATATTTGTTAATTTATGTAGTGAGTAGTGATCATAATTTATTATAGTGATTTTGTTAATATGAAACGTTTATGTTTTCTTTCATTCAAATTAAATATTGAAAGGTATTTCAAAAGAAAACACGGTGGGAGAAATTATAATATGTAAGAAGAATATCAAGATTTAATGTTTTCAATTATAAGTTTTTTTTATCGTATATTCTATCTTTTTATAATGAATCTAGTGATTAAAAAAAATTAAACCGCCAATGCCGGTCCTAAGCTCAGATGAAAGAGGTTGAGGGTTTTTTTAATTCAATGATTTGTGCCCTGACATGAAAAAATTCATGGCTCCGCCCTTGGATATGATTACATAAATGCTTAGTGAAAAATTGTCCATGTAGTCTAAACAAAGATCTTCTGAATAGAAACCTCCACCCATCAAGAAAACGAGTGACGTTAGTAAGAAAAAGATCATGAAAATATCTATTAAAAGCCTCTCTCATATGTTTGGAGTGCAAGATGACATATAGGACAATGATCAAGAGTTATAAGGTAGTGTTTCAGGTTTGGTAGCTTTTGGGCATAAGATGATGCATTGCTCGTGACCTGGATATTGACATGGCTTTGATTAGACTAACTAAGCAATTGTGAGTGGTATGGGATTGAACCTTAACTCTGATAAGAGAGGTCAAAAGTGCTTGATAGTTCCACTAGTATGAATTTTCTATTCCACACATTATGTGAAATTTTATTATTTGGCATTGAAATGCATTACGTAATATGGTATCTTGTTGATTATTATATGCATATGTGATTGGATTAATGAGTAACCAATGACTAATTCTATTTTATATCTTGTTAATATGTAATTAAAAATATAAAGTACAATTTATTTCTAAGTTGGTTAGATTGTAATAACCTGAAAATAAGTTTAAAATTAAAATATGAAAAATTGAGCTGGAGCACTACAGTGAGGTGCTTGCGAGCGTTGGGGTGCTGTGAGCATCGAGAAAGCACCACCTCAGCACTGAGCTCTCTAGAATTTTATAAATTAATTTAGTATAGCCATGCTGAGGTGGTGATGCGACATAATGTTATTTTACATGTAGTGCTAGGTCTAGAGCATAGTGACGCTATGCACTAAAAATAAAAAATTAATATATTTTAATCTAAATATACCTACCACCTTACCTCTTCATTTCACTTCATTTGTCTTAGCTAGGAAGGAAAGAAAGCATAATGAGAAGTGAAGGGAGAGAGGAGATGAGAGAGAGAAGCAAGAGAGAGGAGGATTTCTAGGACTTTTTCGTTTAGTGCTATTATGATAACAGTTATTATGCTCATAGTAAGTGACCTCTATTCTGCATATTATTTCATTGATTCTAAGTTTGGTATATTTCTCGATCCTTAAATTTATAGAAATATAATATATCTCATATTAGTGAACTTTCAACCTTGTAACTTTTGACTGTTTATATTAAAATTTTACTCGATGATTTGATTGATATGACATTTTAACAAAAATAAATAGGAAAATATTGACTGCAAAATGATCAAGTGCTATAGTATTGAATCTGAATATGAGATGCACAATATATTATAAATTGATAGCCCGATCTTGTGTTTTGATTAGTACAAATATTATTGGATGATTATCTACTTATTATTGCATATTGTTTTGGATATTTTTGTGTGCACCACTAACCTTTCAAGTAACAGTACATGAAGAAGGACTAAAGATTCAAACTCAAAACTATGCTTTGTTAGTGTGTGAGTTAAATTATGTATGAAGAGACTGTACTTTTACTTTTTCTTGAGTTAATGTATATAAAAAGGTGTATGCTAGCTTAAAAGTCGTGCACACATAGAGGGAGTAAAAATAAATATTTTAATTTTTTTTAACCGTATTATACAATCCAGATCGTATTGTATGATCAGTTAAAATAGAATAAATTAAAATATTTAATTTAAATAAAAAAATTAAATTTGAATTGTAACTAATCATACAGTATAAACACCACATCCTATTAAATGATCAGCTATATCCAAAATTCACTGTTGAATATAACTTACCTAAAATAGATAAATTTGATTTTGAAATTTGAAATGTATGTATTCTATTAATCATTTTGTATTATACGATCTTTTTAATTATTACCTAATTAGGTCAGTTAATTAAGGAATCAAATTGGATCTGAAATGATTATATATCATATTGTATAAATCACTTGAGGAGTATTTGAATGACATTCAACCTATCCAGTACGATCACAAGATTATTTTCTATGAATCACTTAAGAACTTTCTGGATGATATTTAATTCATCATATATAATATGAGGTTTAGATTTTAACTAATTGAATTGCACTAATATCCATTTGTCTAGTATATATGATCAGATAAGAAATTAACATATTGTACTATCCTCTTATTCATCGCACAATACTATAGTGGGATAGTTGAACTAATCATATTATTTGTTCCATTAATCGTACATACAAACATAATTGATAGAATTAAAAAATTTGGATTTTTGGAAGCCCATTATTTAAGATTTCTTACTAGACTTTATAATAGTCTTTGGTAGTCATTGGGTTGAGTCTTCTATGAGAAAGCGTTGAAGAGAGGGCTTTAAGCAAGAGGAGAGAAATGGTAAAGTTGTGAGAGAGTGAGAAGATTCTTGTGGGTTCAAGGGTGTGTGAGAGGGAGTTTTATACAGTTGCTTCAACTAACATGCACCTAAGTTCCTCCATGTGTCATAACTTACCATGAGGGAAGATTTAGGAAGAACACCCCTTTGGTGTCAAAAGGCCACCAACTACTCCGTTGCACTGAGGAAGGTAAAAGTGATTAGGCTACTCCACCTCACCAGGTGGGTGAAAGTGATATGGGTTACACTACCTCACCGAAAGGGTGAAAAGGATTTGGCTACTCCACCTCAAAGATTTGGTGAAAGGGATTGAGCTACTCCACACTAGGTTGATGAAAGGGAGTCAGCTACTCCGCCGTGCTACGTTGGTGTAAGTGACTGTGTAAGTGCTTCTCCGCCTTGCCATGAGGAAAAAAGGAGTGTTACTAATTATTTAGTGCAATACCCAGAAAAGACTCCTGGGAGTGGATATAGGCCAAATTGATTGAATAACTATAAAATTCTAGTGTGCATATACTTTTTCTTTCCACACTTCACTTTCTTGCACTTTACTTTTTGTACTTTTAATTTTTGCAAATCTAGGTTGAGCATTGTTATCTTTGTTAAAAAATCTTTATGATTGTTTAAGATTTAGTCTTTATTCAAAAAAAGAAAAAAAATATCTATTTATTTATTTTCTATAAAAATCAAAGTACAAAAATAAGTATTTGTTCTTAACATTAGCTTTTACATTTTAAAGTATGAATTTAGTTATTTAAATTTCAAAAGAGATTTTTGAAAAAGATATTTAAAACACCAATTCACCCTCCTCTTGGTGTGTCATTTTATAGTTAAGTGGTTTCACAACTGTTTATTGAACTTTCAGATATAACATATAAGGATATAATTTATTATAGATGTGATAGATGACATGAGATATGTCAAATAAGATAAATCATATATATGATAGATGAGCCTATAACTGATGATAAATTTGATAGATGATAAATAAGACATATGTCAAATGTGATAAATATATTATATATATATATATATAATGTTAACCTATAGCTGATGAAATATGTGATAGATGATAGATAATAGATATGATAAATAACAAATGATATGTAAGACATATGATTGATAAGAGTGATAATGAATGAGACTAGTTATTAATGATTGATGGCTGATAATTCTAATTAATTGATATAAATGATTGATGGACATGACTGATATGTATTCATAATGCATGACTGTTGATATTATAACTTATTAATTGATTGAATGATCGATATAGTGAATATGACTAACAGAAAGCTAAACTGCCATGATACTAACATGAGATGTAATATTCAACTAATATGTTACCTGACGGACGTGGGAATAGGGATATTTATAAAGATATGATTATTTCTATTTTTATAAATTGATTTTAGTTATAGATATTAGTAACTTTTTAGGCTTTGTATCTCATTATTTAGTTCTTATATATTTTCAAGCAAGGGTAAAGGACCAGGGGCATGAAGATGATCTAGGGTTTACATAGCTAAGGTTTCCATTCTACATCTCTTATTATTTCTTTTCTTTTATAATTATGATGTATTTGAAATGATATGCTACTTTCTTTTAGCTAAGTATCATGACAGTTGTAATTATGTTATTTTGGACAAGGATTAGCTGTAAATATTTGATGAATATAGATGCATTTATGTTTTTCATTATTTAATGAAAGATTGTCATGTTAATTAATGATGAGATGATTAAAGTGATGCAT